ACACCTTCCGTGTAGTTTTTCTTTTTAATTAAATGCAGGCAAGCAGGTAAAACGAGATGGACTTTGTTTAGTAGCTCTAAGTATCATACTCAATATTGCTTTTTCCTCTAACAGATGGAGTTTTCAAGGAGCTTTCTTCCCCAATAATCTAGAGACAGTGCCGTTTCTGCAAATTTCACTGTGTCCATAAATACGCTCAGCATAAAGTATCTCTTTCACTTGTAAGTAACTTCATTAATGCCTCTGTGCCTCAGTTTACTCATGTATAAACTGGGAGTGTTGATAACACATTCCTCTTTGATTTTTTTTTGATTAAATGAAGCAGCGTATATGACAAATCTAGGGTGTTACTTTGGAGATCGAAGTAAAACACTCAATTTCCTTTTTTTTACAAGAGACAGTTAAAACTATTTTTCTCCCACAGTCTAGACAGACAATGCCCTTTGCCACAAAGTTTATTGAGTGTAGATAAATACGCTCTCAAAGAAATCATCCATTTCTCTTCTTGTAACGTCATTACTGCCTCTGTGCCTCAGTTTCCTCAACTGTAAAATGGGATGGGAATGTTGATAACACCTTCCTTGTAGATTTTCGTTTTAATTTAATGAAGCAGAGCATGTAAAACACCCAGGACATTTCTTAGTAGATCTAAGTAGCAGACTTAATTTTTTTCAATAGAATTGAAATACAGTAATTCCCCCCCACCCCCAAATCTAGATAGACAAGGCCCTTTCACACAACTTTTACTAAGTATAGATCAATATGCTCACCAGAATCATTGCTTTCACTTACTGCTGCTGCTCCCAAGTGGCTTCAGTCGTGTCCGACTCTGTGCGACCTCGTGGATGGCAGCCCACCAGGCTGCCCGGTCCCTGGGATTCTCCAGACAAGAACATTGGAGTGGGTGGCCATTTCCTTGTCCAATGCATGAAATACTAGTATATTTCATAATGTCTCTGTACCTCAGTTTCCTCATGTATAAAATGGAAATGTTGATAACACCTTCCTTGTAGACTTTCTTTTTTGTTGTTTGTTTTAGTTTAGTTTTTTTTTTTTTTTTATTTCATTTTCTTCTCGTTGGAGGCTAATTACTTTACAGTATTGTAGTGGATTTTGCCATACATTGACATGAATCAGCCATGGATTTACATGTGTTCCCCATCCCGATCCCCACTCCCGCCTCCCTCTCCACCCCATCCCTCTGGGTCTTCCCAGTGCACCAGCCCTGAGCACCCGTCTCATGCATCCAACCTGGCCTGGTGATCTGTTACACCCTTGACAGTATACTTGTTTCAATGCTGTTCTCTCTGAACATCCCTCCCTCGCCTTCTCCCACAGAGTCTAAAAGATTTTCTTTTTGATTAAATGAAGCAGGGCACGTAAAACACCGGGGACATTTCTCAGTAGATCTAAGTAACATCCTTTTGATTTTTTAAAAACAGTATTGAAATCAAATTATTTGCCCCAACAATCTAGACAGACAAACCCCTTTCCCACAAGTTTCCTAGGTATAGATGCATACTCTCACAGAAAACCCATCGTTTTCACTCACTTGTAACTTCATGAATACCTCGGCACCTCAGTTTTCCTCATCTATAAAATGGGAACATTGAGAACTTTCCTCGTGGCTTTTCAATTTAATTAAATGAAGCAGAGCATGTAAAACACCCAGGACATCACTTAGTAGGTCTAAGTAACATACTTAAGTTTTTTTTTTAATAGGTAGAATTGAAATCAAGATCCCCCTTCACTAATCGAGATAGACCATGCCCTTTCCCAAAAAGCTTACTAGCTGTCGATAAATACGCTAACCAAAAGAACTTTCATTTACGACTGACTTCATTAAGTCTCTGTGCCTCAGCCTCCTCATCTATAAAATGGGAATATTGACAGCACCTTCCTCGTAGATTTTCTTTTTAATTCAATGAAGCTTCACATGTAAAACAGCCACCATTGTTTAGGAGAGCTAACAAACATCCATAATATTGTTTTTTTTAAGAGTGTGAAAATCTTTATTTGTTTCCCCTCAGCTTTGTAGATTTTCATTCTACCTTACTGATTTTTATTTTTAATTCAATCAAACAGAGCATGTAAAATACCCAGGACATGCTTAGTAGAGTTAAGTAAAATACTTCATGTTTTTCATAGAATTGAAATATTTTTTTCCCCCTAGAATCTAACAGACCATACCCTTACCCAGAAAGTTTATTAAGTGTGGATAAATATACTCACCAATACATCATCTTTCACTTACTAATTACCTCCTTAATGCCTCTGTGCCTCGGTTTCCTCATCCATAAAATGGGAATGTTGATAACACCTTTCCTGTACATTTTATTTGTAATTACATGAAGCAGAGCATGTGAAACACTGAGGACATGCTTAGTAGAGTGAAGTAACATACTTAAGTTTGTCTTTTTAATAGAACTGCAATCAAGTTTTCTTCCCGAAACATTCTAGATAGATGATGCCCTTTCCCACAGAGATTACGAAGTATAGATAAATATGGTTAGCAAACGCGTCTCTTTCACTTCCTAGCAACTTCATTAATGCCTCAGTTTCCTGAAGTATCAATGGGAATATTGATAACAGTTTCCTCATAGCTTTGGTTTTCAATTAAATGAAGCAGACCCTGTCAAACACAGAGGACATTGCTTAGTAGTCTCAGTAACATACTTCATTTTGTTTTTACTTTTTAATAGAGATCACTGAAATTAATTTCCCCCCACATCATTCTAGATAGACAGTGTACTTTCCACAAAGTTTACCGAGTGTCGATCAATATGCTCTCAAAACAACAGGATCTCTTTCACTCACTAGTAACTTCATTGATGCCTCTGTACCTCAGTTTCCTCATCTGTAAAATGGGAGTGTTGATCACATACTCCTTGCAGAGTTTCTTTTTAATGAAATGAAGAAGAGCATGTAAAATCCCCAGGACATTGCTTAGTAGATCTAAGTAACATACTTCATTTTTTTTTTTCATAGACAGAATGGAAACCTCGATTTATTTCCTCATGATCTAGATGTCAAAGCACATTCTCATGAATTTTGCAAAGGGTCAATAAATACCTCACCTAAACACATCTCTTTCAATTACTAGTTAATTTCATTCATGCCTCTGTGCCTCCCTTTCCTCATCCATACAATGGGAATGTTGATAGCACCATCCTCGTAGATTTTCTTTTTAATTCAGTGAAGCAGAACATGTGAAACACCGAGGACATTTCTTTTTTTTTTTCCATTTATTTTTATTAGTTGGCGGCTAATTACTTTACATCATTGCAGTGGTTTTCGTCATACATTGAAATGAATTAGCCATGGATTTACATGTATTCCCCATCCCGGTCCCCCCTCCCACCTCCCTCTCCACCCTATCCCTCTGGGTCTTCCCAGTGCACCAGGCCCGAGCACTTGTCTCATGCACTCAACCTGGGCTGGTGATCGTTTTCACCCTAGATAATATACATGTTTCGATGCTGTTCTCTTGAAACATCCCACCCTCGCCTTCTCCCAATGAGTCTACAAGTCTGTTCTATACATCTGAGTCTCTTTTTCTGTTTTACATATAGGGTTATTGTTACCATCTTTCTAAATTCCATATATATGTGTTAGTATACTGTAATGGGCTTTATCTTTCTGGCTTACTTCGCTCTCTATAATGGGCTCCAGTTTCATCTATCTCATTAGAACTGAGTCAAATGAATTCTTTTTAATGGCTGAGCAATATTCCATGGTGTATATGTACCACAGCTTCCTCATCCATTCGTCTGCTGATGGGCATCTAGGTTGCTTCCATGTCCTGGCGATTATAAACAGTGCTGCGATGAACATTGGGGTGCACGTGTCTCTTTCAGATCTGGTTTCCTCGGTGTGTATGCCCAGAAGTGGGATTGCTGGGTCATATGGCAGTTCTATTTCCAGCTTTTTAAGAAATCTCCACACTCTTTTCCATAGTGGCTGTACTAATTTGCATTCCCACCAACAGGGTAAGAGGGTTCCCTTTTCTCCACACCCTCTCCAGCATTTATTGCTTGTAGACTTTTGGATAGCAGCCATCCTGACTGGTGTGTAATGGTACCTCATTGTGGTTTTGATTTGCATTTCTCTGATAATGAGTGATGTTGAGCATCTTTTCATGTGTTTTTTTGCCATCTGTATGTCTTCCTTGGAGAAATGTCTGTTTAGTTCTTTGGCCCATTTTTTGATTGGGTCATTTGTTTTTCTGGAGTTGAGCTGGAGGAGTTGCTTGTATATTCCCACACACCCTTTTTGTATGTTTCTTTTTTTGTAAAGAACTTGCTTAGCAATGAAATTGACCAACTCAAAGAATGTTAGAGCTGGAAGGAATTTTTGAAATGAAACCACCTTCTTGTTATTACATATGTGGAATAGGAAGCCCAGATAGGATAATGACAGAGCACCTGAGTGCAGTCGGTTTCCAGTCTGGAGCTCAAGCTGGAAGCAGTATCTCTCAGGGAAAGGGAGTAGTGTGATGTTTAAAGATTTTCTTCTATTCTTTATTAGGTAATTGTTGTAGGACACGTTGGAAGTTCATATTTTCATTTACCTTGCATCCTCCCACTTCAAAATGATTGTTGTATTCGTCTGTATAATTTTCCAGATGTTTTCGTATATGTAAATACTGGTAAAATGCTGTCTCAGGTAAGATTGGATCATATTATATTCTATTATATGTATATTATGTATATTGTATTAGCCAGGAACATCATCAGTGCTCACTTGCTGGGGTGGGGGTGGGGGGCTGATGGGAGGGCCTTTAAGTAAATGTCTTAAAAAATTTTAACCGGAAGGAAATAACTTCCTCTCCTGGTATAGTTACCCATCTTCAAGTCACCAAGAGTTCCCTGATCCTTTTTTTGGTCTGACATTAACTGCTTCATGTACTAACGCAGCCCCTTTTTCTCTGTGACTGGAGGTGTGGTTTAAGCGTAGAAGGACCAAGTGGAGGAAATGTCGGAGAGCACTGAGGATCAGAGATGCGCCCGCTCTGCGCCTGGCCCACCCTGTGGTCAGCAACTGGGGTGGACCCGGTAACACCACCCTCATTCAGGAGCCGAAGTGGGTCTGGGTCCTTCTGGAGCCGATGCCCATGCCGCCCACGCCCCCCATGCTGGCCTTCCTGCCCATGCCACCGTTACCCCCTCTGTTTCTGCCTCTGCCCTGGATTCTACCACCCTCCATTCACTCCGGCTGCCCTCACGTGGCCTTGCCTGGTCCCCTATCACCGGTGGCCTTTCTGTAGCCCCGTTTCCTCTTGAATGGTCTCCATGACAGCTTTGTCAAACGTGCCTCTGAGCCAGATTGAAGTTCTGATACCTCACCATCAAGCACACAGTGCCTGCCAAGTGCCTGCCAAGTGTGTTACATACACGTGCCGAGTCAGTGACCCATTATTTTAGGGCACGTTTTCTGTGTTTTCAATAAAGTTGTGAAATCTCTGCACATTTGTCCTGTCTGTCACATGGGGTTAGTGCGTCTGATGGAAACGGCTGAGCCACACTCACCATCAGTAGGCCACACACATCTCCAAAGTTTCCCAGGTGCCCAGGAGGGGTGTACACAGACCCATCCATTCTCTTCCACCCTCATCTCCAACACCCATCCTCCCCCCACCCTGCCCCATGGGGACCACCAATGTGCACGATGGGTGGCGTGAGTCTCCGAGGAACGACAGTGTGTGCCAAGGCAGGCCCGAGGCACATTGGTGGTGATGAGGTCAGAGGCCAAGACCCCAGGGCCACTTCTACAGGGGCAGCTCTTAGGGCTTATGGAGGAGAGGGAGCTGGGTGTTCATCTGGTTCTCTCCCAGTTCTGTTCACCGCCTTCCCTTTTGTGGAGGGGATGCGGGGTGGGGCGGGGGTGCAGACAGAAACCACTCTATGGGAGGGGGCGTTCCTGGCTCTGCAGAGGAAATGCAAGAGGAGACTCTGTCTAGGCCAGCGTGAGACGTTTCCCCTCTCCCACCCCTCCCCAGAAGTGGAAACCTTAGCACTCCTTCCCCAGCTCAGAGCTGATCATGTGGCCTTCAGATGCATCATGTCACCTTCAACATCCTGGGGAGAACCCGGCTTCCAGCTAATTGAACACCGCAGAGGAGGCTCTTGGTTGGGTGCTGCCTGGAGCCAGGAGGCGTGGGCCCTGAGCGCTGATGCGGGATAATCAAGTTGTTTCAAAGCAGCAGGAAGACCTTGCCTTTCTTCTTCCAATGGAATTCCCACGTAGAAACCACCCAGGAAAGGGTGAGGAGAAGGAGAAGGCCCTCAGCCAAGTTCCCCTTGTGGCCGGGGGCTGGGGTGGAGGACGGGTACATTTGCTGGCAGAGGAAGAGAGTCGTTTGCACTTGCCTATCCCAGAGGAAGGAGGGACTGAAGAATGGGGAGAGGCACGTCCAGGCACAGAACCTTACGGGACCGGCTCTGCCCAGTCCTTGGCCGTGCCGATTTGCCCAAAGAAAATCACAGAAAACTCTGGATTTAAAAATAAATATAATAACAGCACTGGGACTTCCGTGGTGGTTCAGTGGCTCGGACTCTGAACTCCCAATGCTGGGGGCCCAGGTTTGAACCCTAGTCAAGGAGCTGGATCCCACATGCAGAAGGTGAGTGTCCACATGCTGCAATACCACAGCGAAGATGGAAGGTCTCTCATGCCACAACTGAGACCCAGAGCAGACAAATAAAGAAATAAAATAGTTTTTAAAAAACAAAACAGGTCATTTCTTCTCTTAAAACCTAACAATATTGTGATGGCATCATGCCTTTGTATATATGTCCAAATTCGTCAAAAGGTATACATTAAATATGTGCATTTTTGTATGCTAAGTAACAACAAGCTGAAATGAATACATAGAACCACAATGAAGTTTTTGGTAAGTCAGTAAGTTTGGTAAGCTCTGGCACATTACTCAGATAGTAACTTAATCCTGCAAAGAATGATCCACTTGTTCATTTGTTCATTGTGCATTGACTTTTGGTAAAAGGATGGCCTTTGATGAATTGACTTGGAGCCAAATCCAAGATGTCTAAGGCCAAGCCAAGGAGGCAGGGTGTTCATTTATGGACAGGTCCTATGTAGAACTCCCTCATGGAGCCCCAGGCTCCAACATGAGAAGGAAAAGGATGGGATTTTATTCTCACATATGAGTGAGGAAAATCATTCTTTATCCCCTCTCTCCTAAGGGCCTTTCCCAGGTGGTGCTAGGGGTAAAGAACTCTCCCAGAGACATAAGAGACTGGGGTTCCATCTCAGGCTCGGGAAGGTCCCCTGGAGGAAGGCATGGCAACCCACTCCAGTATTCTTGCCTGGAGAACCCCATGGACAGAGGAGCCTGCTGGGCTACAGTCCATCGGGTCACAGGGAGTTGGACACGACTGAATCGACTTAGCACAGCAGGACGCCCTGTGCTTTCCTAGTTCCTTTTCTCCCTTGACCTTCCTGATGAGAGGCTATTTGGCAGAATGGGTGTGAAGTCAGGGGCGTGGTCCAGTTTGGGGTCTGGGTGATGAATGGGGAGAACCCCTGCAGATGACTTTTGAGGAGTCCTCCCTTACTAACCCTCAATGCCTTAGTGAAGGTAGGATGCATGGAGACAGGAACATGGAACCATACATGAGCATATGGGAAATAGACAGCCAATGGGAATTGGCGGTGTGACTCAGGGAACTCAAACAGGGGCGTCGTAACAACCTAGAGGGGTGGGATGGGGAGGGAGATGGAAGGCAAGTCCAAGAGGGAGGGGACATGTGTACACCTGTGGCTGATTTATGTTGATGTTGGGCAGAAACCAACGCAATACGATACAGCTATTATCCTACAATGAAAAATAAATCAATAAATACCTGAGTGGCCATCCAACCTGAGAGCAGCTGCGGTAGAAATCTCGGAAGAAGTTTTTGAATCCCAGTTCCCCAGGGTTTTCAGAAGGAAAGTTTGAGTGCTGTTCTGGCAACAGGTGAGGTATTTCAAATCCTAAAGATGATGCTGTAAAAGTGCTGCACTCAATGTGCCAGCAAATTTGGAAAACTCAGCAGTAGTGGTCACAGGACTGGAAAGGGTCAGTTTTCATTCCAAATACCACACAACTGCACTCATCTCACATGATAGCAAAGTAATGCTCAAAATTCGCCAAGCTAGGCTTCAACGGTTCATGAACCGAGAACCTCCAGATGTTCAAGCTGGAATTAGAAAAGGCAGAGGAACTAGAGATCAAATTGCCAACATCTGTTGGATCACAGAGAAAGCAAGAGAATTCCAGAAAAAAATCTACTTCTCTTTTATTGGTCATGTCAAAGCCTTTGACTCTGTGGATCACAACAAACTGTGTAAACTTCTTAAAGAGATGGGAATAGCAGACCACCTTACCTGTATCCTGAGAACTCTGTATGCAGGTCAAGAAGCAACAATTAGAATCAGGCATCGAACAATTAACTGGCTTCAAATTGGGAAAGGAGTACGTGAAGGCTGTACATTTTCACCCTGATTATTTAATTATATCAAGCAAAATGCTGGGCTGGATGAATCCCAAGCTGGAATCAAGACTGCCATGAGAAATATCAATAACCTCAGATATGCAGATGACACCACCCTTATGGCAAAAACAAAGAGGAACTAAAGGGCCTCTTGATGAACGTGAAAGAGGAGAGTGAAAAAGCTGGCTTAAAACTCAACATTCAGAAAACAAAGATCATGGCATCTGGTCCCATCACTTCAGGGCAAATAGATGGGGAAACAATGGAAACAGTAACGGACTTTATTGGGGGGAGGGGGCTCCAAAATCACGGCAGATGGTGACTGCAGCCATGAAATTAAAAGACGCTTGCTCCTTGGAAGAAAAGCTATGACCAAGCTAGGCAGCATATTAGAAAGCAGACATTACTTTGCTGACTAAGGTCTGTCTAGTCAAAGCTATGGTTTTTCCAGTAGTCATATATGGATGTGAGAGTTGGACCATAAAGAAACCTGAGCACTGAAGAACTGATGCTTTTGAACTGTGGTGTTGGAGAAGACTCTTGAGAGCCCCTTGGACTACAGGGATGTCAAACCAGTCAATCCTATAAGAAATCAGTCCTGAATATTCATTGGAAGGACTGATGCTGAAGTTGAAACTCCAATACTTTGGCCACCTGATGGGAAGAAGTGACTCATCTGAAAAGACCCTGATGCTGGGAAAGACCCTGATGCTGGGAAAGACCCTAATGCTGGGAAAGATTGAAGGCGGGAGGAGAAGGGGACGACAGAGGAGATGATTGGATGGCATCACCGAATCAATGGACATGAATCTGAACAAACTCCGGGAGTTTGGCAATGTGCCGGGAAGCCTAGCATGCTGCAGTCCATGCAGTTGCAAAGAGTCGGACACAACTGAGCACCTGAACTGAACTGATAGCAACAACAGTATCAACCAGTGGGAGGTAAAGCCCAGACATTTCTGTCTGCTTCAGTTCAGTCAAGGAGGGGAAATTGGAGACAGCTGAGGGAAGGAGGATGTTCTCAACTACAGAAACTTACATGACCTCAGCAACAGGAAGACTTTATCGTTTCCTTACTCAGTTTCTTCCCAGCAAGGGGTGAGTTTGCAGGGTTGTGCCAGGAGGAATAGCAATGACAAATGTCACAACTGGTACGTACTGGAGGGGGGGATTCTTTTTACGTGCCAGTCACTGGGTTAAGGTCTCAGTATGTATGAAGTCATTTACTTTTCAATGCACATACTAGTATTGTCACATTAAATTGCAAAAAGACAAAAAAACCAAACAGAGACCCAGCATTTACTCTGTTCAAGACAAACCCTGAACCATCCATGCTTTTACTCGGCTGTCCCTAAATCCTGAGAGCAGGGCCTCTGGCTGTGCTTGATGGTTTCTTTTTTTCCTTTTCTTCTCTTTTCTTTTTTTGGCCACACCCTGTGGCACTCAGGATCTTAGTTCTCCAGTCGGGGATTGAACCAGTGCTGCCTGCAGTGGAAGTGCAGAATCTTAACCACTGGACCACCAGGGAAGACCTTTGATGGTTTCTTCTAAAAATATCTTTTATCAAACACAGATGAGAGAGTCTACTATAATGGTTACCAGCAGAGTCAGGAGAAATTTACAAAATGTTTCTCTTTGTCAGTTTCCTTGCCTCCAAAATGGGGATAAAGATAATGCCTACTGAGTATGATTTTTGGAGGATTAAATCAGGTAGTTCATTCAAAGTTTGAGAATAGTACATGGTAATCTTTCTCTATAAGCTTTAGATATTATTTCTGTTATTAATATTAGTTGTAGGAGAAGTGTGACATGGTCTTAATTGGTAAAATGAAACGATTATGACCCCTGTCCAAACCCAGTTTTATTTTACTAATATTACTAGTCTATGAAATCCCCAAGGCTTGGAGCCCCTGCCTTTAACCATGGTGCTTGTATAGGGAGTGGTTGGTTCTCCTGTTAAGACAGTGTCTCAGTCCCAACCAAGAAAAGGAAGTGCTTGGCTAAGTGCCATCTCTGAGCTCACTGCCTGGAGGACAGCACACAAACCCAGGACCCACACAGAGACTATGCCGCTGAGACGACCTGGAGAGGGAGAGGCATGCGGGTGGGGAGGAGGAAGTGTGAGAGGCAGCTGGCTTCATAGGAAGAAGACAAACTTTGGACTCAGATTCAAATCAGAGTTCTGCCACGGACTGGCTTGGTGATTTTGACCAGACTGTTTCAGCTTTCTGAGCCTCATCCATACAATGGGATCTTAATAGTAGTTAGTCCATAGAGCTGAAAAGAAGATGAAGAGACTCACGTGGAGCACACAGAAGAAAACCTGGCAAGCTGTAGGTGTTCAATAAACATTTGCTACCGCCAAGATGATGAAAAACAAAAAAGTAGAGGAATCAAAAAGAGCCCACTGCTTCCCAGAAGCAGGGAGAATTTTCTCAGTGCTGCAAGGACCCATGTGTCTTGAGCCCTCCCTCAGTAGGGTCAATGCCCCACAGGCAAGAAGGAAGGAGGATTTGTATGGCCCCTCACTGATGAGCACACACGCTCCAGAGCTATGAATACTGCTGATGCTGGAGACTGGACTCAGTTCTGCTCACTCGCCTGAATCCCACAAAGCAAAAATTGGGGCTTCCCTGGTAGCTCACTCGGTAAAAAGTCCGCCTGTAATGCAGGACATCCCGGTTCAGTTCCTGGGTTGGGAAGATCCCCTAGAGAAGGGATAGGCTGCCCACGCCAGTATTCATGGGCTTCCTGGTGGCTCAGATGGTAAAGAATCTGCCTGCTGTGTGGGAGGTCTGGGTTGGGAAGATCCTGTGGAGGAAGGTATGGCAACCCACTCCAGTATTCTTGCCTGGAGAATCCCCATGGACAGAGGAGCCTGGCAGGCTAGCAAAGAGTCAGAGTGCACAGCACAAAGACAGCATAGAACAGACCACTGGAAAGAATAATGTAAAAATGGTATTCAGGTGCCCTCTTCTGGACAATCTGGGCAAGGGCTTTCCCAAAGACATCTCTGTGTCTACTCACTCAATCCTGGGGCCTCAAGGGAGATTCATGGGCTTTCCCAGCTAAGGAAGTCTAACATGGGGCCAGGAACCAGATTATGAGGAACCTGACAGGGGGTCCCACTGGAGTCTCCATGGTGATGACCCTGGATTTCACCTTTCTTGGTGAGTCTGGAAATGAATCAGGCAGCCCCAGTGTCTTAGCTCGGGACACAATTATTGGCCTGTTATTGGCCCTTGGTGGATACTGAGCACATGATTCATGGCTGTGAGGTAAACTTTTTAAAAAATATTTTATTTATTTGGCCATTTCAGGTCTTACTTGCAGCACGTGGGATCTCCGATGCTTCCTGTGGGATATTTCATTATGGTGCACGGGCTCTGTATCTGCGGGCGCAGATGGCTAAGTTGCTCCGAGCCACGTAGGATCTCAGTTCCGTAAACAGAGATCAAACCTGCGTCCCTTCCACAGCCCTCAGTCTGCACGTCCCTTCTCAGACTCCACACGTCCCCACTGCAACCCTCCCCCCTTATCTCCTTTTCACCCCCTTGTCACCTAGCAGTCTGCTATCACCACAGGAAGGGGGAGAAGCTTGTGGCAAAGGCAAGGAAGCGGAGAGTCTGCGTGGAGCCACGTCCCCAGCAGAGGGCGCGGGAGAGCCTCCCTGCGCCCGCGGAACACGCGCCTGCCCGGCCGCCTCAGGCAGGTAAAGCCAAGGCCTCCGCCGGCCCCCGCCTTTCCAAGAAACACTCTTCCGACTTCCTCTGCACCGCAGTGAGTTCGCCTATGCCTGTGTCCTCAGTCGCTAAGTCGTGCCCGACCCTTTTGGAGTCCATAGACTACCCCGCCAGGCTTTTGTGACCACGAAATTTTCCAGGCAAGAACACGGGAGTGGGTTGCCATTTCCTACTCCAGGGGATCTTCCCGACCCAGGGATCGAACCGGCGTCTCTTCTGTCTCCAGCATTGGCAGGCAGATTCTTTGCAGCTGAGCTAACTGGGAAGCCCTAAATGGCTCTGTGGATAGCCGAGAAATAACGGTTAGTTATTATTATTATTATTTTCCGAAGTGTAGGTAAGAGGTGATCTTAAGAAAGAAACCAAGAGTCTATGGACTGAGAGCGGGACCGGGGATTGTGTTTGGCCACTTTGCTTTTGTTTCTTTTTTGGCTTGGGTCGCCGGGTGTGTTGTTTCAACATACAGTGTTTTTTGTTTGTCTGTTAATGTGTAGGTTAAAAATCTTTTTTCTCGGGAGATTGGGGTTGACATACACACTCAAATAAATATATAAAATAGATAACAAAGAAGGACCTACTGTGTAGACCAAGGAACTCAGTACTCTGTATTGGGAAACGAATCTTAAAAAACAGTGAATACTGGGAATGTCATGTGGTAGCCTGGATGGGAGGCCAATCTGGGGGAGAATGGACACATGTGTAGGTATGGCTGAAGCCCTCCGGCTGTTCACCTGAAATTACCACAACATTGTTAATCTGCTGTACCCCAATACAAAATTTAAAAATTTTTATTATTATTTTAAATAATATTTTTATTTTTACTTTTATTTTTTAATTTATTTTTATTTTATTTAAAATTTTTATTTATTTATTTTAATGGGAGGCTAATTACTTTACACTGTTGTAGTGGTTTTTGCCATCCATTGACATGAATCAGCCATGGGTGTACCTGTGTCCCCCATCCTGACCTTCCCTCCCGCCTCCCTCCCCATCCCATCCCTCAGGGTCGTCCCAGTGCACCAGCCCTGAGCACCCTGTCTCATGCATCGAACCTGGACTGGTGGTCTGTTTCACATATGGTAATAAACATGGTTCAATGCTATTCTCTCGAATCATCCCACCCTCGCCTTCTCCCACAGAGTCCAAAAGTCTGTTCTTTACATCTGTGTCTCTTTTGCTGTCTCGCATATAGGGTCATCGTTACCACCTTTCCAAATTCCATATATATGTGTTAATATACTGCATTGGTGTTTTTCTTTCTGACTTACTTCACTCTGTATAATAGGCTCCAGTTTCATCCACCTCATTAGAACTGATTCAAATGAATTCTTTTTAATAGCTGAGTAATATTGCATTGTGTATGTGTACCACAGCTTTCTTCCCATTTGTCTGCTGATGGACATCTAGGTTGCTTCCATGTCCTGTCTAGTGTAAACAGTGCTGTGATGAACACTGGGTACATGTGTCTCTTTCAATTCTGGTTTCGTCTGTGTATATGCCCAGCAGTGGGATTGCTGGGTCGTATAGCAGTTCTAGTTCCAGTTTTTTAAGGAATCTCCACAGTGTTCGCCATAGTGGCTGTACCAGTTTGCATTCCCAGCAACAGTGTAAGAGGGTTCCCTTTTCTCCACACCCTCTCCAGCATTTATGGTTTGTAGACTTTTTGATAACAGCCATTCTGAGTGACATGAGATAGCACCACATTGTGGTTTTGATTTGCATTTCTCTGATAATGAATTAAGTTGAGCATCTTTTCATGTGTTTGTTATCCATCTGTATGTCTTCTTTGGAGAAATGATTGTTTAGTTCTTTGGCCCATCTTTTGATTGGGTCGTTTTCAAAATAAAAAAGAATTAAGTCAACAAGAGAAAATAAAAAAGAAATACCTTATCTGGAATAAAGTAAGTGTTTTAAAAGTATTTGCAGAGGGCATACACACCAAGGAAACCAGATCTGAAAGAGACACGTGTACTCCAGTGTTCATTGCAGCACTATTTATAATAGCCAGGACATGGAAGCAACCTTGATGCCCATCAGCAGACGAATGGATAAGGAAGCTGTGGTACATATACACAATGGAATATTACTCAGCCATTAAAAAGAATTCATTTGAATAAGTTCTAATGAGATGGATGAAACTGGAGCCCATTATACAGACATTAACTGCTTCATGTACTAACGCAGCCCCTTTTTCTCTGTGACTGGAAGTGTGGCTTAAGCGTAGAAGGACCAAGTGGAGGAAATGTCGGAGAGCACTGAGGATCAGAGATGCGCCCGCTCTGCGCCTGGCCCACCCTGTGGTCAGCAACTGGGTGGACCCGGCAACACCACCCTCATTCAGGAGCCGAAGTGGGTCTGGGTCCTTCTGGAGCCGATGCCCCTGGAGCCGATGCCCATGCCGCCCATGCCCCCCATGCTGGCCTTCCTGCCCATGCCACCGTTACCCCCTCTGTTTCTGCCTCTGCCCTGGATTCTACCACCCTCCATTCACTCCGGCTGCCCTCACGTGGCCTTGCCTGGTCCCCTATCACCGGTGGCCTTTCTGTAGCCCCGTTTCCTCTTGAATGGTCTCCATGACAGCTTTGTCAAACGTGCCTCTGAGCCAGATTGAAGTTCTGATACCTCACCATCAAGCACACAGTGCCTGCCAAGTGCCTGCCAAGTGTGTTACATACACGTGCCGAGTCAGTGACCCATTATTTTAGGGCACGTTTTCTGTGTTTTCAATAAAGTTGTGAAATCTCTGCACATTTGTCCTGTCTGTCACATGGGGTTAGTGCGTCTGATGGAAACGGCTGAGCCACACTCACCATCAGTAGGCCACACACATCTCCAAAGTTTCCCAGGTGCCCAGGAGGGGTGTACACAGACCCATCCATTCTCTTCCACCCTCATCTCCAACACCCATCCTCCCCCCACCCTGCCCCATGGGGACCACCAATGTGCACGATGGGTGGCGTGAGTCTCCGAGGAACGACAGTGTGTGCCAAGGCAGGCCCGAGGCACATTGGTGGTGATGAGGTCAGAGGCCAAGACCCCAGGGCCACTTCTACAGGGGCAGCTCTTAGGGCTTATGGAGGAGAGGGAGCTGGGTGTTCATCTGGTTCTCTCCCAGTTCTGTTCACCGCCTTCCCTTTTGTGGAGGGGATGCGGGGTGGGGCGGGGGTGCAGACAGAAACCACTCTATGGGAGGGGGCGTTCCTGGCTCTGCAGAGGAAATGCAAGAGGAGACTCTGTCTAGGCCAGCGTGAGACGTTTCCCCTCTCCCACCCCTCCCCAGAAGTGGAAACCTTAGCACTCCTTCCCCAGCTCAGAGCTGATCATGTGGCCTTCAGATGCATCATGTCACCTTCAACATCCTGGGGAGAACCCGGCTTCCAGCTAATTGAACACCGCAGAGGAGGCTCTTGGTTGGGTGCTGCCTGGAGCCAGGAGGCGTGGGCCCTGAGCGCTGATGCGGGATAATCAAGTTGTTTCAAAGCAGCAGGAAGACCTTGCCTTTCTTCTTCCAATGGAATTCCCACGTAGAAACCACCCAGGAAAGGGTGAGGAGAAGGAGAAGGCCCTCAGCCAAGTTCCCCTTGTGGCCGGGGGCTGGGGTGGAGGACGGGTACATTTGCTGGCAGAGGAAGAGAGTCGTTTGCACTTGCCTATCCCAGAGGAAGGAGGGACTGAAGAATGGGGAGAGGCACGTCCAGGCACAGAACCTTACGGGACCGGCTCTGCCCAGTCCTTGGCCGTGCCGATTTGCCCAAAGAAAATCACAGAAAACTCTGGATTTAAAAATAAATATAATAACAGCACTGGGACTTCCGTGGTGGTTCAGTGGCTCGGACTCTGAACTCCCAATGCTGGGGGCCCAGGTTTGAACCCTAGTCAAGGAGCTGGATCCCACATGCAGAAGGTGAGTGTCCACATGCTGCAATACCACAGCGAAGATGGAAGGTCTCTCATGCCACAACTGAGACCCAGAGCAGACAAATAAAGAAATAAAATAGTTTTTAAAAAACAAAACAGGTCATTTCTTCTCTTAAAACCTAACAATATTGTGATGGCATCATGCCTTTGTATATATGTCCAAATTCGTCAAAAGGTATACATTAAATATGTGCATTTTTGTATGCTAAGTAACAACAAGCTGAAATGAATACATAGAACCACAATGAAGTTTTTGGTAAGTCAGTAAGTTTGGTAAGCTCTGGCACATTACTCAGATAGTAACTTAATCCTGCAAAGAATGATCCACTTGTTCATTTGTTCATTGTGCATTGACTTTTGGTAAAAGGATGGCCTTTGATGAATTGACTTGGAGCCAAATCCAAGATGTCTAAGGCCAAGCCAAGGAGGCAGGGTGTTCATTTATGGACAGGTCCTATGTAGAACTCCCTCATGGAGCCCCAGGCTCCAACATGAGAAGGAAAAGGATGGGATTTTATTCTCACATATGAGTGAGGAAAATCATTCTTTATCCCCTCTCTCCTAAGGGCCTTTCCCAGGTGGTGCTAGGGGTAAAGAACTCTCCCAGAGACATAAGAGACTGGGGTTCCATCTCAGGCTCGGGAAGGTCCCCTGGAGGAAGGCATGGCAACCCACTCCAGTATTCTTGCCTGGAGAACCCCATGGACAGAGGAGCCTGCTGGGCTACAGTCCATCGGGTCACAGGGAGTTGGACACGACTGAATCGACTTAGCACAGCAGGACGCCCTGTGCTTTCCTAGTTCCTTTTCTCCCTTGACCTTCCTGATGAGAGGCTATTTGGCAGAATGGGTGTGAAGTCAGGGGCGTGGTCCAGTTTGGGGTCTGGGTGATGAATGGGGAGAACCCCTGCAGATGACTTTTGAGGAGTCCTCCCTTACTAACCCTCAATGCCTTAGTGAAGGTAGGATGCATGGAGACAGGAACATGGAACCATACATGAGCATATGGGAAATAGACAGCCAATGGGAATTGGCGGTGTGACTCAGGGAGCTCAAACAGGGGCGTCGTAACAACCTAGAGGGGTGGGATGGGGAGGGAGATGGAAGGCAAGTCCAAGAGGGAGGGGACATGTGTACACCTGTGGCTGATTTATGTTGATGTTGGGCAGAAACCAACGCAATACGATACAGCTATTATCCTACAATGAAAAATAAATCAATAAATACCTGAGTGGCCATCCAACCTGAGAGCAGCTGCGGTAGAAATCTCGGAAGAAGTTTTTGAATCCCAGTTCCCCAGGGTTTTCAGAAGGAAAGTTTGAGTGCTGTTCTGGCAACAGGTGAGGTATTTCAAATCCTAAAGATGATGCTGTAAAAGTGCTACACTCAATGTGCCAGCAAATTTGGAAGACTCAGCAGTAGTGGTCACAGGACTGGAAAGGGTCAGTTTTCATTCCAAATACCACACAACTGCACTCATCTCACATGATAGCAAAGTAATGCTCAAAATTCGCCAAGCTAGGCTTCAACGGTTCATGAACCGAGAACCTCCAGATGTTCAAGCTGGAATTAGAAAAGGCAGAGGAACTAGAGATCAAATTGCCAACATCTGTTGGATCACAGAGAAAGCAAGAGAATTCCAGAAAAAAATCTACTTCTCTTTTATTGGTCATGTCAAAGCCTTTGACTCTGTGGATCACAACAAACTGTGTAAACTTCTTAAAGAGATGGGAATAGCAGACCACCTTACCTGTATCCTGAGAACTCTGTATGCAGGTCAAGAAGCAACAATTAGAATCAGGCATCGAACAATTAACTGGCTTCAAATTGGGAAAGGAGTACGTGAAGGCTGTACATTTTCACCCTGATTATTTAATTATATCAAGCAAAATGCTGGGCTGGATGAATCCCAAGCTGGAATCAAGACTGCCATGAGAAATATCAATAACCTCAGATATGCAGATGACACCACCCTTATGGCAAAAACAAAGAGGAACTAAAGGGCCTCTTGATGAACGTGAAAGAGGAGAGTGAAAAAGCTGGCTTACAACTCAACATTCAGAAAACAAAGATCATGGCATCTGGTCCCATCACTTCAGGGCAAATAGATGGGGAAACAATGGAAACAGTAACGGACTTTATTGGGGGGAGGGGGCTCCAAAATCACGGCAGATGGTGACTGCAGCCATGAAATTAAAAGACGCTTGCTCCTTGGAAGAAAAGCTATGACCAAGCTAGGCAGCATATTAGAAAGCAGACATTACTTTGCTGACTAAGGTCTGTCTAGTCAAAGCTATGGTTTTTCCAGTAGTCATATATGGATGTGAGAGTTGGACCATAAAGAAACCTGAGCACTGAAGAACTGATGCTTTTGAACTGTGGTGTTGGAGAAGACTCTTGAGAGCCCCTTGGACTACAGGGATGTCAAACCAGTCAATCCTATAAGAAATCAGTCCTGAATATTCATTGGAAGGACTGATGCTGAAGTTGAAACTCCAATACTTTGGCCACCTGATGGGAAGAAGTGACTCATCTGAAAAGACCCTGATGCTGGGAAAGATTGAAGGCGGGAGGAGAAGGGGACGACAGAGGAGATGATTGGATGGCATCACCGAATCAATGGACATGAATCTGAACAAACTCCGGGAGTTTGGCAATGTGCCGGGAAGCCTAGCATGCTGCAGTCCATGCAGTTGCAAAGAGTCGGACACAACTGAGCACCTGAACTGAACTGATAGCAACAACAGTATCAACCAGTGGGAGGTAAAGCCCAGACATTTCTGTCTGCTTCAGTTCAGTCAAGGAGGGGAAATTGGAGACAGCTGAGGGAAGGAGGATGTTCTCAACTACAGAAACTTACATGACCTCAGCAACAGGAAGACTTTATCGTTTCCTTACTCAGTTTCTTCCCAGCAAGGGGTGAGTTTGCAGGGTTGTGCCAGGAGGAATAGCAATGACAAATGTCACAACTGGTACGTACTGGAGGGGGGGGATTCTTTTTACGTGCCAGTCACTGGGTTAAGGTCTCAGTATGTATGAAGTCATTTACTTTTCAATGCACATACTAGTATTGTCACATTAAATTGCAAAAAAACAAAAAAACCAAACAGAGACCCAGCATTTACTCTGTTCAAGACAAACCCTGAACCATCCATGCTTTTACTCGGCTGTCCCTAAATCCTGAGAGCAGGGCCTCTGGCTGTGCTTGATGGTTTCTTTTTTTCCTTTTCTTCTCTTTTCTTTTTTTGGCCACACCCTGTGGCACTCAGGATCTTAGTTCTCCAGTCGGGGATTGAACCAGTGCTGCCTGCAGTGGAAGTGCAGAATCTTAACCACTGGACCACCAGGGAAGACCTTTGATGGTTTCTTCTAAAAATATCTTTTATCAAACACAGATGAGAGAGTCTACTATAATGGTTACCAGCAGAGTCAGGAGTAATTTACAAAACGTTTCTCTTTGTCAGTCTCCTTGCCTCCAAAATGGGGATAAAGATAATGCCTACTGAGTATGATTTTTGGAGGATTAAATCAGGTAGTTCATTCAAAGTTTGAGAATAGTACATGGTAATCTTTCTCTATAAGCTTTAGATATTATTTCTGTTATTAATATTAGTTGTAGGAGAAGTGTGACATGGTCTTAATTGGTAAAATGAAACGATTATGACCCCTGTCCAAACCCAGTTTTATTTTACTAATATTACTAGTCTATGAAATCCCCAAGGCTTGGAGCCCCTGCCTTTAACCATGGTGCTTGTATAGGGAGTGGTTGGTTCTCCTGTTAAGACAGTGTCTCAGTCCCAACCAAGAAAAGGAAGTGCTTGGCTAAGTGCCATCTCTGAGCTCACTGCCTGGAGGACAGCACACAAACCCAGGACCCACACAGAGACTATGCCGCTGAGACGACCTGGAGAGGGAGAGGCATGCGGGTGGGGAGGAGGAAGTGTGAGAGGCAGCTGGCTTCATAGGAAGAAGACAAACTTTGGACTCAGATTCAAATCAGAGTTCTGCCACGGACTGGCTTGGTGATTTTGACCAGACTGTTTCAGCTTTCTGAGCCTCATCCATACAATGGGATCTTAATAGTAGTTAGTCCATAGAGCTGAAAAGAAGATGAAGAGACTCACGTGGAGCACACAGAAGAAAACCTGGCAAGCTGTAGGTGTTCAATAAACATTTGCTACCGCCAAGATGATGAAAAACAAAAAAGTAGAGGAATCAAAAAGAGCCCACTGCTTCCCAGAAGCAGGGAGAATTTTCTCAGTGCTGCAAGGACCCATGTGTCTTGAGCCCTCCCTCAGTAGGGTCAATGCCCCACAGGCAAGAAGGAAGGAGGATTTGTATGGCCCCTCACTGATGAGCACACACGCTCCAGAGCTATGAATACTGCTGATGCTGGAGACTGGACTCAGTTCTGCTCACTCGCCTGAATCCCACAAAGCAAAAATTGGGGCTTCCCTGGTAGCTCACTCGGTAAAAAGTCCGCCTGTAATGCAGGACATCCCGGTTCAGTTCCTGGGTTGGGAAGATCCCCTAGAGAAGGGATAGGCTGCCCACGCCAGTATTCATGGGCTTCCTGGTGGCTCAGATGGTAAAGAATCTGCCTGCTGTGTGGGAGGTCTGGGTTGGGAAGATCCTGTGGAGGAAGGTATGGCAACCCACTCCAGTATTCTTGCCTGGAGAATCCCCATGGACAGAGGAGCCTGGCAGGCTAGCAAAGAGTCAGAGTGCACAGCACAAAGACAGCATAGAACAGACCACTGGAAAGAATAATGTAAAAATGGTATTCAGGTGCCCTCTTCTGGACAATCTGGGCAAGGGCTTTCCCAAAGACATCTCTGTGTCTACTCACTCAATCCTGGGGCCTCAAGGGAGATTCATGGGCTTTCCCAGCTAAGGAAGTCTAACATGGGGCCAGGAACCAGATTATGAGGAACCTGACAGGGGGTCCCACTGGAGTCTCCATGGTGATGACCCTGGATTTCACCTTTCTTGGTGAGTCTGGAAATGAATCAGGCAGCCCCAGTGTCTTAGCTCGGGACACAATTATTGGCCTGTTATTGGCCCTTGGTGGATACTGAGCACATGATTCATGGCTGTGAGGTAAACTTTTTAAAAAATATTTTATTTATTTGGCCATTTCAGGTCTTACTTGCAGCACGTGGGATCTCCGATGCTTCCTGTGGGATATTTCATTATGGTGCACGGGCTCTGTATCTGCGGGCGCAGATGGCTAAGTTGCTCCGAGCCACGTAGGATCTCAGTTCCGTAAACAGAGATCAAACCTGCGTCCCTTCCACAGCCCTCAGTCTGCACGTCCCTTCTCAGACTCCACACGTCCCCACTGCAACCCTCCCCCCTTATCTCCTTTTCACCCCCTTGTCACCTAGCAGTCTGCTATCACCACAGGAAGGGGGAGAAGCTTGTGGCAAAGGCAAGGAAGCGGAGAGTCTGCGTGGAGCCACGTCCCCAGCAGAGGGCGCGGGAGAGCCTCCCTGCGCCCGCGGAACACGCGCCTGCCCGGCCGCCTCAGGCAGGTAAAGCCAAGGCCTCCGCCGGCCCCCGCCTTTCCAAGAAACACTCTTCCGACTTCCTCTGCACCGCAGTGAGTTCGCCTATGCCTGTGTCCTCAGTCGCTAAGTCGTGCCCGACCCTTTTGGAGTCCATAGACTACCCCGCCAGGCTTTTGTGACCACGAAATTTTCCAGGCAAGAACACGGGAGTGGGTTGCCATTTCCTACTCCAGGGGATCTTCCCGACCCAGGGATCGAACCGGCGTCTCTTCTGTCTCCAGCATTGGCAGGCAGATTCTTTGCAGCTGAGCTAACTGGGAAGCCCTAAATGGCTCTGTGGATAGCCGAGAAATAACGGTTAGTTATTATTATTATTATTTTCCGAAGTGTAGGTAAGAGGTGATCTTAAGAAAGAAACCAAGAGTCTATGGACTGAGAGCGGGACCGGGGATTGTGTTTGGCCACTTTGCTTTTGTTTCTTTTTTGGCTTGGGTCGCCGGGTGTGTTGTTTCAACATACAGTGTTTTTTGTTTGTCTGTTAATGTGTAGGTTAAAAATCTTTTTTCTCGGGAGATTGGGGTTGACATACACACTCAAATAAATATATAAAATAGATAACAAAGAAGGACCTACTGTGTAGACCAAGGAACTCAGTACTCTGTATTGGGAAACGAATCTTAAAAAACAGTGAATACTGGGAATGTCATGTGGTAGCCTGGATGGGAGGCCAATCTGGGGGAGAATGGACACATGTGTAGGTATGGCTGAAGCCCTCCGGCTGTTCACCTGAAATTACCACAACATTGTTAATCTGCTGTACCCCAATACAAAATTTAAAAATTTTTATTATTATTTTAAATAATATTTTTATTTTTACTTTTATTTTTTAATTTATTTAAAATTTTTATTTATTTATTTTAATGGGAGGCTAATTACTTTACACTGTTGTAGTGGTTTTTGCCATCCATTGACATGAATCAGCCATGGGTGTACCTGTGTCCCCCATCCTGACCTTCCCTCCCGCCTCCCTCCCCATCCCATCCCTCAGGGTCGTCCCAGTGCACCAGCCCTGAGCACCCTGTCTCATGCATCGAACCTGGACTGGTGGTCTGTTTCACATATGGTAATAAACATGGTTCAATGCTATTCTCTCGAATCATCCCACCCTCGCCTTCTCCCACAGAGTCCAAAAGTCTGTTCTTTACATCTGTGTCTCTTTTGCTGTCTCGCATATAGGGTCATCGTTACCACCTTTCCAAATTCCATATATATGTGTTAATATACTGTATTGGTGTTTTTCTTTCTGACTTACTTCACTCTGTATAATAGGCTCCAGTTTCATCCACCTCATTAGAACTGATTCAAATGAATTCTTTTTAATAGCTGAGTAATATTGCATTGTGTATATGTACCACAGCTTTCTTCCCATTTGTCTGCTGATGGACATCTAGGTTGCTTCCATGTCCTGTCTAGTATAAACAGTGCTGTGATGAACACTGGGTACATGTGTCTCTTTCAATTCTGGTTTCATCTGTGTATATGCCCAGCAGTGGGATTGCTGGGTCGTATAGCAGTTCTAGTTCCAGTTTTTTAAGGAATCTCCACAGTGTTCGCCATAGTGGCTGTACCAGTTTGCATTCCCAGCAACAGTGTAAGAGGGTTCCCTTTTCTCCACACCCTCTCCAGCATTTATGGTTTGTAGACTTTTTGATAGCAGCCATTCTGAGTGACATGAGATAGCACCACATTGTGGTTTTGATTTGCATTTCTCTGATAATGAATTAAGTTGAGCATCTTTTCATGTGTTTGATATCCATCTGTATGTCTTCTTTGGAGAAATGATTGTTTAGTTCTTTGGCCCATCTTTTGATTGGGTCGTTTTCAAAATAAAAAAGAATTAAGTCAACAAGAGAAAATAAAAAAGAAATACCTTATCTGGAATAAAGTAAGTGTTTTAAAAGTATTTGCAGAGGGCATACACACCAAGGAAACCAGATCTGAAAGAGACACGTGTACTCCAGTGTTCATTGCAGCACTATTTATAATAGCCAGGACATGGAAGCAACCTTGATGCCCATCAGCAGACGAATGGATAAGGAAGCTGTGGTACATATACACACTGGAATATTACTCAGCCATTAAAAAGAATTCATTTGAATAAGTTCTAATGAGATGGATGAAACTGGAGCCCATTATACAGACATTAACTGCTTCATGTACTAACGCAGCCCCTTTTTCTCTGTGACTGGAGGTGTGGCTTAAGCGTAGAAGGACCAAGTGGAGGAAATGTCGGAGAGCACTGAGGATCAGAGATGCGCCCGCTCTGCGCCTGGCCCACCCTGTGGTCAGCAACTGGGTGGACCCGGCAACACCACCCTCATTCAGGAGCCGAAGTGGGTCTGGGTCCTTCTGGAGCCGATGCCCCTGGAGCCGATGCCCATGCCGCCCATGCCCCCCATGCTGGCCTTCCTGCCCATGCCACCGTTACCCCCTCTGTTTCTGCCTCTGCCCTGGATTCTACCACCCTCCATTCACTCCGGCTGCCCTCACGTGGCCTTGCCTGGTCCCCTATCACCGGTGGCCTTTCTGTAGCCCCGTTTCCTCTTGAATGGTCTCCATGACAGCTTTGTCAAACGTGCCTCTGAGCCAGATTGAAGTTCTGATACCTCACCATCAAGCACACAGTGCCTGCCAAGTGCCTGCCAAGTGTGTTACATACACGTGCCGAGTCAGTGACCCATTATTTTAGGGCACGTTTTCTGTGTTTTCAATAAAGTTGTGAAATCTCTGCACATTTGTCCTGTCTGTCACATGGGGTTAGTGCGTCTGATGGAAACGGCTGAGCCACACTCACCATCAGTAGGCCACACACATCTCCAAAGTTTCCCAGGTGCCCAGGAGGGGTGTACACAGACCCATCCATTCTCTTCCACCCTCATCTCCAACACCCATCCTCCCCCCACCCTGCCCCATGGGGACCACCAATGTGCACGATGGGTGGCGTGAGTCTCCGAGGAACGACAGTGTGTGCCAAGGCAGGCCCGAGGCACATTGGTGGTGATGAGGTCAGAGGCCAAGACCCCAGGGCCACTTCTACAGGGGCAGCTCTTAGGGCTTATGGAGGAGAGGGAGCTGGGTGTTCATCTGGTTCTCTCCCAGTTCTGTTCACCGCCTTCCCTTTTGTGGAGGGGATGCGGGGTGGGGCGGGGGTGCAGACAGAAACCACTCTATGGGAGGGGGCGTTCCTGGCTCTGCAGAGGAAATGCAAGAGGAGACTCTGTCTAGGCCAGCGTGAGACGTTTCCCCTCTCCCACCCCTCCCCAGAAGTGGAAACCTTAGCACTCCTTCCCCAGCTCAGAGCTGATCATGTGGCCTTCAGATGCATCATGTCACCTTCAACATCCTGGGGAGAACCCGGCTTCCAGCTAATTGAACACCGCAGAGGAGGCTCTTGGTTGGGTGCTGCCTGGAGCCAGGAGGCGTGGGCCCTGAGCGCTGATGCGGGATAATCAAGTTGTTTCAAAGCAGCAGGAAGACCTTGCCTTTCTTCTTCCAATGGAATTCCCACGTAGAAACCACCCAGGAAAGGGTGAGGAGAAGGAGAAGGCCCTCAGCCAAGTTCCCCTTGTGGCCGGGGGCTGGGGTGGAGGACGGGTACATTTGCTGGCAGAGGAAGAGAGTCGTTTGCACTTGCCTATCCCAGAGGAAGGAGGGACTGAAGAATGGGGAGAGGCACGTCCAGGCACAGAACCTTACGGGACCGGCTCTGCCCAGTCCTTGGCCGTGCCGATTTGCCCAAAGAAAATCACAGAAAACTCTGGATTTAAAAATAAATATAATAACAGCACTGGGACTTCCGTGGTGGTTCAGTGGCTCGGACTCTGAACTCCCAATGCTGGGGGCCCAGGTTTGAACCCTAGTCAAGGAGCTGGATCCCACATGCAGAAGGTGAGTGTCCACATGCTGCAATACCACAGCGAAGATGGAAGGTCTCTCATGCCACAACTGAGACCCAGAGCAGACAAATAAAGAAATAAAATAGTTTTTAAAAAACAAAACAGGTCATTTCTTCTCTTAAAACCTAACAATATTGTGATGGCATCATGCCTTTGTATATATGTCCAAATTCGTCAAAAGGTATACATTAAATATGTGCATTTTTGTATGCTAAGTAACAACAAGCTGAAATGAATACATAGAACCACAATGAAGTTTTTGGTAAGTCAGTAAGTTTGGTAAGCTCTGGCACATTACTCAGATAGTAACTTAATCCTGCAAAGAATGATCCACTTGTTCATTTGTTCATTGTGCATTGACTTTTGGTAAAAGGATGGCCTTTGATGAATTGACTTGGAGCCAAATCCAAGATGTCTAAGGCCAAGCCAAGGAGGCAGGGTGTTCATTTATGGACAGGTCCTATGTAGAACTCCCTCATGGAGCCCCAGGCTCCAACATGAGAAGGAAAAGGATGGGATTTTATTCTCACATATGAGTGAGGAAAATCATTCTTTATCCCCTCTCTCCTAAGGGCCTTTCCCAGGTGGTGCTAGGGGTAAAGAACTCTCCCAGAGACATAAGAGACTGGGGTTCCATCTCAGGCTCGGGAAGGTCCCCTGGAGGAAGGCATGGCAACCCACTCCAGTATTCTTGCCTGGAGAACCCCATGGACAGAGGAGCCTGCTGGGCTACAGTCCATCGGGTCACAGGGAGTTGGACACGACTGAATCGACTTAGCACAGCAGGACGCCCTGTGCTTTCCTAGTTCCTTTTCTCCCTTGACCTTCCTGATGAGAGGCTATTTGGCAGAATGGGTGTGAAGTCAGGGGCGTGGTCCAGTTTGGGGTCTGGGTGATGAATGGGGAGAACCCCTGCAGATGACTTTTGAGGAGTCCTCCCTTACTAACCCTCAATGCCTTAGTGAAGGTAGGATGCATGGAGACAGGAACATGGAACCATACATGAGCATATGGGAAATAGACAGCCAATGGGAATTGGCGGTGTGACTCAGGGAACTCAAACAGGGGCGTCGTAACAACCTAGAGGGGTGGGATGGGGAGGGAGATGGAAGGCAAGTCCAAGAGGGAGGGGACATGTGTACACCTGTGGCTGATTTATGTTGATGTTGGGCAGAAACCAACGCAATACGATACAGCTATTATCCTACAATGAAAAATAAATCAATAAATACCTGAGTGGCCATCCAACCTGAGAGCAGCTGCGGTAGAAATCTCGGAAGAAGTTTTTGAATCCCAGTTCCCCAGGGTTTTCAGAAGGAAAGTTTGAGTGCTGTTCTGGCAACAGGTGAGGTATTTCAAATCCTAAAGATGATGCTGTAAAAGTGCTGCACTCAATGTGCCAGCAAATTTGGAAAACTCAGCAGTAGTGGTCACAGGACTGGAAAGGGTCAGTTTTCATTCCAAATACCACACAACTGCACTCATCTCACATGATAGCAAAGTAATGCTCAAAATTCGCCAAGCTAGGCTTCAACGGTTCATGAACCGAGAACCTCCAGATGTTCAAGCTGGAATTAGAAAAGGCAGAGGAACTAGAGATCAAATTGCCAACATCTGTTGGATCACAGAGAAAGCAAGAGAATTCCAGAAAAAAATCTACTTCTCTTTTATTGGTCATGTCAAAGCCTTTGACTCTGTGGATCACAACAAACTGTGTAAACTTCTTAAAGAGATGGGAATAGCAGACCACCTTACCTGTATCCTGAGAACTCTGTATGCAGGTCAAGAAGCAACAATTAGAATCAGGCATCGAACAATTAACTGGCTTCAAATTGGGAAAGGAGTACGTGAAGGCTGTACATTTTCACCCTGATTATTTAATTATATCAAGCAAAATGCTGGGCTGGATGAATCCCAAGCTGGAATCAAGACTGCCATGAGAAATATCAATAACCTCAGATATGCAGATGACACCACCCTTATGGCAAAAACAAAGAGGAACTAAAGGGCCTCTTGATGAACGTGAAAGAGGAGAGTGAAAAAGCTGGCTTAAAACTCAACATTCAGAAAACAAAGATCATGGCATCTGGTCCCATCACTTCAGGGCAAATAGATGGGGAAACAATGGAAACAGTAACGGACTTTATTGGGGGGAGGGGGCTCCAAAATCACGGCAGATGGTGACTGCAGCCATGAAATTAAAAGACGCTTGCTCCTTGGAAGAAAAGCTATGACCAAGCTAGGCAGCATATTAGAAAGCAGACATTACTTTGCTGACTAAGGTCTGTCTAGTCAAAGCTATGGTTTTTCCAGTAGTCATATATGGATGTGAGAGTTGGACCATAAAGAAACCTGAGCACTGAAGAACTGATGCTTTTGAACTGTGGTGTTGGAGAAGACTCTTGAGAGCCCCTTGGACTACAGGGATGTCAAACCAGTCAATCCTATAAGAAATCAGTCCTGAATATTCATTGGAAGGACTGATGCTGAAGTTGAAACTCCAATACTTTGGCCACCTGATGGGAAGAAGTGACTCATCTGAAAAGACCCTGATGCTGGGAAAGACCCTGATGCTGGGAAAGACCCTAATGCTGGGAAAGATTGAAGGCGGGAGGAGAAGGGGACGACAGAGGAGATGATTGGATGGCATCACCGAATCAATGGACATGAATCTGAACAAACTCCGGGAGTTTGGCAATGTGCCGGGAAGCCTAGCATGCTGCAGTCCATGCAGTTGCAAAGAGTCGGACACAACTGAGCACCTGAACTGAACTGATAGCAACAACAGTATCAACCAGTGGGAGGTAAAGCCCAGACATTTCTGTCTGCTTCAGTTCAGTCAAGGAGGGGAAATTGGAGACAGCTGAGGGAAGGAGGATGTTCTCAACTACAGAAACTTACATGACCTCAGCAACAGGAAGACTTTATCGTTTCCTTACTCAGTTTCTTCCCAGCAAGGGGTGAGTTTGCAGGGTTGTGCCAGGAGGAATAGCAATGACAAATGTCACAACTGGTACGTACTGGAGGGGGGGATTCTTTTTACGTGCCAGTCACTGGGTTAAGGTCTCAGTATGTATGAAGTCATTTACTTTTCAATGCACATACTAGTATTGTCACATTAAATTGCAAAAAGACAAAAAAACCAAACAGAGACCCAGCATTTACTCTGTTCAAGACAAACCCTGAACCATCCATGCTTTTACTCGGCTGTCCCTAAATCCTGAGAGCAGGGCCTCTGGCTGTGCTTGATGGTTTCTTTTTTTCCTTTTCTTCTCTTTTCTTTTTTTGGCCACACCCTGTGGCACTCAGGATCTTAGTTCTCCAGTCGGGGATTGAACCAGTGCTGCCTGCAGTGGAAGTGCAGAGTCTTAACCACTGGACCACCAGGGAAGACCTTTGATGGTTTCTTCTAAAAATATCTTTTATCAAACACAGATGAGAGAGTCTACTATAATGGTTACCAGCAGAGTCAGGAGTAATTTACAAAACGTTTCTCTTTGTCAGTCTCCTTGCCTCCAAAATGGGGATAAAGATAATGCCTACTGAGTATGATTTTTGGAGGATTAAATCAGGTAGTTCATTCAAAGTTTGAGAATAGTACATGGTAATCTTTCTCTATAAGCTTTAGATATTATTTCTGTTATTAATATTAGTTGTAGGAGAAGTGTGACATGGTCTTAATTGGTAAAATGAAACGATTATGACCCCTGTCCAAACCCAGTTTTATTTTACTAATATTACTAGTCTATGAAATCCCCAAGGCTTGGAGCCCCTGCCTTTAACCATGGTGCTTGTATAGGGAGTGGTTGGTTCTCCTGTTAAGACAGTGTCTCAGTCCCAACCAAGAAAAGGAAGTGCTTGGCTAAGTGCCATCTCTGAGCTCACTGCCTGGAGGACAGCACACAAACCCAGGACCCACACAGAGACTATGCCGCTGAGACGACCTGGAGAGGGAGAGGCATGCGGGTGGGGAGGAGGAAGTGTGAGAGGCAGCTGGCTTCATAGGAAGAAGACAAACTTTGGACTCAGATTCAAATCAGAGTTCTGCCACGGACTGGCTTGGTGATTTTGACCAGACTGTTTCAGCTTTCTGAGCCTCATCCATACAATGGGATCTTAATAGTAGTTAGTCCATAGAGCTGAAAAGAAGATGAAGAGACTCACGTGGAGCACACAGAAGAAAACCTGGCAAGCTGTAGGTGTTCAATAAACATTTGCTACCGCCAAGATGATGAAAAACAAAAAAGTAGAGGAATCAAAAAGAGCCCACTGCTTCCCAGAAGCAGGGAGAATTTTCTCAGTGCTGCAAGGACCCATGTGTCTTGAGCCCTCCCTCAGTAGGGTCAATGCCCCACAGGCAAGAAGGAAGGAGGATTTGTATGGCCCCTCACTGATGAGCACACACGCTCCAGAGCTATGAATACTGCTGATGCTGGAGACTGGACTCAGTTCTGCTCACTCGCCTGAATCCCACAAAGCAAAAATTGGGGCTTCCCTGGTAGCTCACTCGGTAAAAAGTCCGCCTGTAATGCAGGACATCCCGGTTCAGTTCCTGGGTTGGGAAGATCCCCTAGAGAAGGGATAGGCTGCCCACGCCAGTATTCATGGGCTTCCTGGTGGCTCAGATGGTAAAGAATCTGCCTGCTGTGTGGGAGGTCTGGGTTGGGAAGATCCTGTGGAGGAAGGTACGGCAACCCACTCCAGTATTCTTGCCTGGAGAATCCCCATGGACAGAGGAGCCTGGCAGGCTAGCAAAGAGTCAGAGTGCACAGCACAAAGACAGCATAGAACAGACCACTGGAAAGAATAATGTAAAAATGGTATTCAGGTGCCCTCTTCTGGACAATCTGGGCAAGGGCTTTCCCAAAGACATCTCTGTGTCTACTCACTCAATCCTGGGGCCTCAAGGGAGATTCATGGGCTTTCCCAGCTAAGGAAGTCTAACATGGGGCCAGGAACCAGATTATGAGGAACCTGACAGGGGGTCCCACTGGAGTCTCCATGGTGATGACCCTGGATTTCACCTTTCTTGGTGAGTCTGGAAATGAATCAGGCAGCCCCAGTGTCTTAGCTCGGGACACAATTATTGGCCTGTTATTGGCCCTTGGTGGATACTGAGCACATGATTCATGGCTGTGAGGTAAACTTTTTAAAAAATATTTTATTTATTTGGCCATTTCAGGTCTTACTTGCAGCACGTGGGATCTCCGATGCTTCCTGTGGGATATTTCATTATGGTGCACGGGCTCTGTATCTGCGGGCGCAGATGGCTAAGTTGCTCCGAGCCACGTAGGATCTCAGTTCCGTAAACAGAGATCAAACCTGCGTCCCTTCCACAGCCCTCAGTCTGCACGTCCCTTCTCAGACTCCACACGTCCCCACTGCAACCCTCCCCCCTTATCTCCTTTTCACCCCCTTGTCACCTAGCAGTCTGCTATCACCACAGGAAGGGGGAGAAGCTTGTGGCAAAGGCAAGGAAGCGGAGAGTCTGCGTGGAGCCACGTCCCCAGCAGAGGGCGCGGGAGAGCCTCCCTGCGCCCGCGGAACACGCGCCTGCCCGGCCGCCTCAGGCAGGTAAAGCCAAGGCCTCCGCCGGCCCCCGCCTTTCCAAGAAACACTCTTCCGACTTCCTCTGCACCGCAGTGAGTTCGCCTATGCCTGTGTCCTCAGTCGCTAAGTCGTGCCCGACCCTTTTGGAGTCCATAGACTACCCCGCCAGGCTTTTGTGACCACGAAATTTTCCAGGCAAGAACACGGGAGTGGGTTGCCATTTCCTACTCCAGGGGATCTTCCCGACCCAGGGATCGAACCGGCGTCTCTTCTGTCTCCAGCATTGGCAGGCAGATTCTTTGCAGCTGAGCTAACTGGGAAGCCCTAAATGGCTCTGTGGATAGCCGAGAAATAACGGTTAGTTATTATTATTATTATTTTCCGAAGTGTAGGTAAGAGGTGATCTTAAGAAAGAAACCAAGAGTCTATGGACTGAGAGCGGGACCGGGGATTGTGTTTGGCCACTTTGCTTTTGTTTCTTTTTTGGCTTGGGTCGCCGGGTGTGTTGTTTCAACATACAGTGTTTTTTGTTTGTCTGTTAATGTGTAGGTTAAAAATCTTTTTTCTCGGGAGATTGGGGTTGACATACACACTCAAATAAATATATAAAATAGATAACAAAGAAGGACCTACTGTGTAGACCAAGGAACTCAGTACTCTGTATTGGGAAACGAATCTTAAAAAACAGTGAATACTGGGAATGTCATGTGGTAGCCTGGATGGGAGGCCAATCTGGGGGAGAATGGACACATGTGTAGGTATGGCTGAAGCCCTCCGGCTGTTCACCTGAAATTACCACAACATTGTTAATCTGCTGTACCCCAATACAAAATTTAAAAATTTTTATTATTATTTTAAATAATATTTTTATTTTTACTTTTATTTTTTAATTTATTTTTATTTTATTTAAAATTTTTATTTATTTATTTTAATGGGAGGCTAATTACTTTACACTGTTGTAGTGGTTTTTGCCATCCATTGACATGAATCAGCCATGGGTGTACCTGTGTCCCCCATCCTGACCTTCCCTCCCGCCTCCCTCCCCATCCCATCCCTCAGGGTCGTCCCAGTGCACCAGCCCTGAGCACCCTGTCTCATGCATCGAACCTGGACTGGTGGTCTGTTTCACATATGGTAATAAACATGGTTCAATGCTATTCTCTCGAATCATCCCACCCTCGCCTTCTCCCACAGAGTCCAAAAGTCTGTTCTTTACATCTGTGTCTCTTTTGCTGTCTCGCATATAGGGTCATCGTTACCACCTTTCCAAATTCCATATATATGTGTTAATATACTGCATTGGTGTTTTTCTTTCTGACTTACTTCACTCTGTATAATAGGCTCCAGTTTCATCCACCTCATTAGAACTGATTCAAATGAATTCTTTTTAATAGCTGAGTAATATTGCATTGTGTATGTGTACCACAGCTTTCTTCCCATTTGTCTGCTGATGGACATCTAGGTTGCTTCCATGTCCTGTCTAGTGTAAACAGTGCTGTGATGAACACTGGGTACATGTGTCTCTTTCAATTCTGGTTTCGTCTGTGTATATGCCCAGCAGTGGGATTGCTGGGTCGTATAGCAGTTCTAGTTCCAGTTTTTTAAGGAATCTCCACAGTGTTCGCCATAGTGGCTGTACCAGTTTGCATTCCCAGCAACAGTGTAAGAGGGTTCCCTTTTCTCCACACCCTCTCCAGCATTTATGGTTTGTAGACTTTTTGATAGCAGCCATTCTGAGTGACATGAGATAGCACCACATTGTGGTTTTGATTTGCATTTCTCTGATAATGAATTAAGTTGAGCATCTTTTCATGTGTTTGTTATTCATCTGTATGTCTTCTTTGGAGAAATGATTGTTTAGTTCTTTGGCCCATCTTTTGATTGGGTCGTTTTCAAAATAAAAAAGAATTAAGTCAACAAGAGAAAATAAAAAAGAAATACCTTATCTGGAATAAAGTAAGTGTTTTAAAAGTATTTGCAGAGGGCATACACACCAAGGAAACCAGATCTGAAAGAGACACGTGTACTCCAGTGTTCATTGCAGCACTATTTATAATAGCCAGGACATGGAAGCAACCTTGATGCCCATCAGCAGACGAATGGATAAGGAAGCTGTGGTACATATACACAATGGAATATTACTCAGCCATTAAAAAGAATTCATTTGAATAAGTTCTAATGAGATGGATGAAACTGGAGCCCATTATACAGACATTAACTGCTTCATGTACTAACGCAGCCCCTTTTTCTCTGTGACTGGAGGTGTGGCTTAAGCGTAGAAGGACCAAGTGGAGGAAATGTCGGAGAGCACTGAGGATCAGAGATGCGCCCGCTCTGCGCCTGGCCCACCCTGTGGTCAGCAACTGGGTGGACCCGGCAACACCACCCTCATTCAGGAGCCGAAGTGGGTCTGGGTCCTTCTGGAGCCGATGCCCCTGGAGCCGATGCCCATGCCGCCCATGCCCCCCATGCTGGCCTTCCTGCCCATGCCACCGTTACCCCCTCTGTTTCTGCCTCTGCCCTGGATTCTACCACCCTCCATTCACTCCGGCTGCCCTCACGTGGCCTTGCCTGGTCCCCTATCACCGGTGGCCTTTCTGTAGCCCCGTTTCCTCTTGAATGGTCTCCATGACAGCTTTGTCAAACGTGCCTCTGAGCCAGATTGAAGTTCTGATACCTCACCATCAAGCACACAGTGCCTGCCAAGTGCCTGCCAAGTGTGTTACATACACGTGCCGAGTCAGTGACCCATTATTTTAGGGCACGTTTTCTGTGTTTTCAATAAAGTTGTGAAATCTCTGCACATTTGTCCTGTCTGTCACATGGGGTTAGTGCGTCTGATGGAAACGGCTGAGCCACACTCACCATCAGTAGGCCACACACATCTCCAAAGTTTCCCAGGTGCCCAGGAGGGGTGTACACAGACCCATCCATTCTCTTCCACCCTCATCTCCAACACCCATCCTCCCCCCACCCTGCCCCATGGGGACCACCAATGTGCACGATGGGTGGCGTGAGTCTCCGAGGAACGACAGTGTGTGCCAAGGCAGGCCCGAGGCACATTGGTGGTGATGAGGTCAGAGGCCAAGACCCCAGGGCCACTTCTACAGGGGCAGCTCTTAGGGCTTATGGAGGAGAGGGAGCTGGGTGTTCATCTGGTTCTCTCCCAGTTCTGTTCACCGCCTTCCCTTTTGTGGAGGGGATGCGGGGTGGGGCGGGGGTGCAGACAGAAACCACTCTATGGGAGGGGGCGTTCCTGGCTCTGCAGAGGAAATGCAAGAGGAGACTCTGTCTAGGCCAGCGTGAGACGTTTCCCCTCTCCCACCCCTCCCCAGAAGTGGAAACCTTAGCACTCCTTCCCCAGCTCAGAGCTGATCATGTGGCCTTCAGATGCATCATGTCACCTTCAACATCCTGGGGAGAACCCGGCTTCCAGCTAATTGAACACCGCAGAGGAGGCTCTTGGTTGGGTGCTGCCTGGAGCCAGGAGGCGTGGGCCCTGAGCGCTGATGCGGGATAATCAAGTTGTTTCAAAGCAGCAGGAAGACCTTGCCTTTCTTCTTCCAATGGAATTCCCACGTAGAAACCACCCAGGAAAGGGTGAGGAGAAGGAGAAGGCCCTCAGCCAAGTTCCCCTTGTGGCCGGGGGCTGGGGTGGAGGACGGGTACATTTGCTGGCAGAGGAAGAGAGTCGTTTGCACTTGCCTATCCCAGAGGAAGGAGGGACTGAAGAATGGGGAGAGGCACGTCCAGGCACAGAACCTTACGGGACCGGCTCTGCCCAGTCCTTGGCCGTGCCGATTTGCCCAAAGAAAATCACAGAAAACTCTGGATTTAAAAATAAATATAATAACAGCACTGGGACTTCCGTGGTGGTTCAGTGGCTCGGACTCTGAACTCCCAATGCTGGGGGCCCAGGTTTGAACCCTAGTCAAGGAGCTGGATCCCACATGCAGAAGGTGAGTGTCCACATGCTGCAATACCACAGCGAAGATGGAAGGTCTCTCATGCCACAACTGAGACCCAGAGCAGACAAATAAAGAAATAAAATAGTTTTTAAAAAACAAAACAGGTCATTTCTTCTCTTAAAACCTAACAATATTGTGATGGCATCATGCCTTTGTATATATGTCCAAATTCGTCAAAAGGTATACATTAAATATGTGCATTTTTGTATGCTAAGTAACAACAAGCTGAAATGAATACATAGAACCACAATGAAGTTTTTGGTAAGTCAGTAAGTTTGGTAAGCTCTGGCACATTACTCAGATAGTAACTTAATCCTGCAAAGAATGATCCACTTGTTCATTTGTTCATTGTGCATTGACTTTTGGTAAAAGGATGGCCTTTGATGAATTGACTTGGAGCCAAATCCAAGATGTCTAAGGCCAAGCCAAGGAGGCAGGGTGTTCATTTATGGACAGGTCCTATGTAGAACTCCCTCATGGAGCCCCAGGCTCCAACATGAGAAGGAAAAGGATGGGATTTTATTCTCACATATGAGTGAGGAAAATCATTCTTTATCCCCTCTCTCCTAAGGGCCTTTCCCAGGTGGTGCTAGGGGTAAAGAACTCTCCCAGAGACATAAGAGACTGGGGTTCCATCTCAGGCTCGGGAAGGTCCCCTGGAGGAAGGCATGGCAACCCACTCCAGTATTCTTGCCTGGAGAACCCCATGGACAGAGGAGCCTGCTGGGCTACAGTCCATCGGGTCACAGGGAGTTGGACACGACTGAATCGACTTAGCACAGCAGGACGCCCTGTGCTTTCCTAGTTCCTTTTCTCCCTTGACCTTCCTGATGAGAGGCTATTTGGCAGAATGGGTGTGAAGTCAGGGGCGTGGTCCAGTTTGGGGTCTGGGTGATGAATGGGGAGAACCCCTGCAGATGACTTTTGAGGAGTCCTCCCTTACTAACCCTCAATGCCTTAGTGAAGGTAGGATGCATGGAGACAGGAACATGGAACCATACATGAGCATATGGGAAATAGACAGCCAATGGGAATTGGCGGTGTGACTCAGGGAACTCAAACAGGGGCGTCGTAACAACCTAGAGGGGTGGGATGGGGAGGGAGATGGAAGGCAAGTCCAAGAGGGAGGGGACATGTGTACACCTGTGGCTGATTTATGTTGATGTTGGGCAGAAACCAACGCAATACGATACAGCTATTATCCTACAATGAAAAATAAATCAATAAATACCTGAGTGGCCATCCAACCTGAGAGCAGCTGCGGTAGAAATCTCGGAAGAAGTTTTTGAATCCCAGTTCCCCAGGGTTTTCAGAAGGAAAGTTTGAGTGCTGTTCTGGCAACAGGTGAGGTATTTCAAATCCTAAAGATGATGCTGTAAAAGTGCTGCACTCAATGTGCCAGCAAATTTGGAAAACTCAGCAGTAGTGGTCACAGGACTGGAAAGGGTCAGTTTTCATTCCAAATACCACACAACTGCACTCATCTCACATGATAGCAAAGTAATGCTCAAAATTCGCCAAGCTAGGCTTCAACGGTTCATGAACCGAGAACCTCCAGATGTTCAAGCTGGAATTAGAAAAGGCAGAGGAACTAGAGATCAAATTGCCAACATCTGTTGGATCACAGAGAAAGCAAGAGAATTCCAGAAAAAAATCTACTTCTCTTTTATTGGTCATGTCAAAGCCTTTGACTCTGTGGATCACAACAAACTGTGTAAACTTCTTAAAGAGATGGGAATAGCAGACCACCTTACCTGTATCCTGAGAACTCTGTATGCAGGTCAAGAAGCAACAATTAGAATCAGGCATCGAACAATTAACTGGCTTCAAATTGGGAAAGGAGTACGTGAAGGCTGTACATTTTCACCCTGATTATTTAATTATATCAAGCAAAATGCTGGGCTGGATGAATCCCAAGCTGGAATCAAGACTGCCATGAGAAATATCAATAACCTCAGATATGCAGATGACACCACCCTTATGGCAAAAACAAAGAGGAACTAAAGGGCCTCTTGATGAACGTGAAAGAGGAGAGTGAAAAAGCTGGCTTAAAACTCAACATTCAGAAAACAAAGATCATGGCATCTGGTCCCATCACTTCAGGGCAAATAGATGGGGAAACAATGGAAACAGTAACGGACTTTATTGGGGGGAGGGGGCTCCAAAATCACGGCAGATGGTGACTGCAGCCATGAAATTAAAAGACGCTTGCTCCTTGGAAGAAAAGCTATGACCAAGCTAGGCAGCATATTAGAAAGCAGACATTACTTTGCTGACTAAGGTCTGTCTAGTCAAAGCTATGGTTTTTCCAGTAGTCATATATGGATGTGAGAGTTGGACCATAAAGAAACCTGAGCACTGAAGAACTGATGCTTTTGAACTGTGGTGTTGGAGAAGACTCTTGAGAGCCCCTTGGACTACAGGGATGTCAAACCAGTCAATCCTATAAGAAATCAGTCCTGAATATTCATTGGAAGGACTGATGCTGAAGTTGAAACTCCAATACTTTGGCCACCTGATGGGAAGAAGTGACTCATCTGAAAAGACCCTGATGCTGGGAAAGACCCTGATGCTGGGAAAGACCCTAATGCTGGGAAAGATTGAAGGCGGGAGGAGAAGGGGACGACAGAGGAGATGATTGGATGGCATCACCGAATCAATGGACATGAATCTGAACAAACTCCGGGAGTTTGGCAATGTGCCGGGAAGCCTAGCATGCTGCAGTCCATGCAGTTGCAAAGAGTCGGACACAACTGAGCACCTGAACTGAACTGATAGCAACAACAGTATCAACCAGTGGGAGGTAAAGCCCAGACATTTCTGTCTGCTTCAGTTCAGTCAAGGAGGGGAAATTGGAGACAGCTGAGGGAAGGAGGATGTTCTCAACTACAGAAACTTACATGACCTCAGCAACAGGAAGACTTTATCGTTTCCTTACTCAGTTTCTTCCCAGCAAGGGGTGAGTTTGCAGGGTTGTGCCAGGAGGAATAGCAATGACAAATGTCACAACTGGTACGTACTGGAGGGGGGGATTCTTTTTACGTGCCAGTCACTGGGTTAAGGTCTCAGTATGTATGAAGTCATTTACTTTTCAATGCACATACTAGTATTGTCACATTAAATTGCAAAAAGACAAAAAAACCAAACAGAGACCCAGCATTTACTCTGTTCAAGACAAACCCTGAACCATCCATGCTTTTACTCGGCTGTCCCTAAATCCTGAGAGCAGGGCCTCTGGCTGTGCTTGATGGTTTCTTTTTTTCCTTTTCTTCTCTTTTCTTTTTTTGGCCACACCCTGTGGCACTCAGGATCTTAGTTCTCCAGTCGGGGATTGAACCAGTGCTGCCTGCAGTGGAAGTGCAGAATCTTAACCACTGGACCACCAGGGAAGACCTTTGATGGTTTCTTCTAAAAATATCTTTTATCAAACACAGATGAGAGAGTCTACTATAATGGTTACCAGCAGAGTCAGGAGAAATTTACAAAATGTTTCTCTTTGTCAGTTTCCTTGCCTCCAAAATGGGGATAAAGATAATGCCTACTGAGTATGATTTTTGGAGGATTAAATCAGGTAGTTCATTCAAAGTTTGAGAATAGTACATGGTAATCTTTCTCTATAAGCTTTAGATATTATT